GACAGCTTCCATTAAAGCACAGCAGCCCTCAGTTTGGTGCTGAGCACCCCACATGGTCTAGAAAGTGAGCACTTTAACCTGCCCTTAATTCCATTTCCATGGTACTACTCCCTTTGTTCCCCGCTACGTATTGTTTTTTTAATCTTTTGCTCTCTGATTGCTTATTTATTTCTTTATGGATGGATTTCTTTCACTCAGCTGCAGCCTTTGTCCTAGGCTGCAGCAGGCCTTGGGGGCAACTGGGTTTCTCTATAACCTGAGCTGAGCAATCTTTTACACAGTCACAGAGCACTGGTTTTACTCTCTTTAACCTGCCACAGATTACAAGAGTTTTGTTCTTCCTAATTTAATCAGTGGTTGAAGTCTGTTACATAAGCCAACCACTCTGAAATCTTTTAGACCCTGTTGACTTAATATTATTCTCCCAATGTTAAAAGCTGGCAGCATGAAGTCACAGCCAAAATGGCATTCTTCCAGGCTGCCGAGAAATCTCCAACCTCTGAGGCAAGCACTATCAGCTTAATTTTTGTAAAGCTGTTCTTGCTGGCTTCCCCTTCCCCTTCCCATTCCCCTTCCCTCCACTCCCCTCCCTTGATTTTACTCTTACCTTCCCAAACACTAATTGAGCTCTACTGTGAGCGTGCATTGCCTTTATTCACGTAATCAAAAAGGTCTTTTTCCACAGGGGCCCCTTCATCTTTCGGTGCATTGATTAGACCGGAGCATTACCCAACCTGAGGTAACTTATCAAGACCCGTTGATTATTTTTTAATCACTCCGCTTAACCGGTTTAAAAGATGGTTAGAACACAGTCAGCTGAGCTGACTCCACTCCCAGCTACCCCACTCCCAAATTCAGCACTAATGGCAACACCCCATGAACACTCCTTGTGCGTGTTCCTGTCTACCAGAAGGCAGCAGCACTGTAGTGCGGTAAAAAACAGTAAAACACTGTTACCATGTGCTTCATTTTCATATCAAGCATTGCTTTGATGGATTATAACACCTTAAAGCCAGTCCTAGCTGGCTCTATGTCAGGCTGCCTTCTAAGCTTTAGTTCCCCTTTTGTATTATATGAAGATTATTTGAAGAAGCTGCTGAATCTTGTAAATGTTTAAGTAAGATATTATGGGAATTGTTATAATATAACAATTTGATAAACTGCTTTTTAGAACAAGAAAGGAACGGATGGTCATGAACCAGTAGGCATGAACTTGAGATAAATGAAGTGTCTTTCAAACTGTAAAAATTGTGCCAAGTTCCTCAAAGATCATGTCCTAAGTTAACCTATCCTAATTATAATATGAAAACCACACCTCCACTGCTGAAATCTCCCCCTACCACATTAATACCCCTACTCACTGAACAGGTGTAGTTAATGTTGAGAATGACAAAGTAGAATGGTAATGAGAAAATTATAATAACTAATCTGTTTGTAGAATGGGCAGTAGTTAGCTGATTTTACGATATAAATAAGGACTTGTTTTGTATTTTGGGGTGCTAGCTTTGTGGAGTTACCACCTAGCACCCATCTCTGCGCAGACATGAAAGAAACAAATACCTCGGCTCTGTGTGTGAGATTGGCTTATTGCACACCAGGTAACGAACCCCGCTTGAGGGACAACAATTTCTGGAAATATTTGAGATGATGATACTTCAAACAGAGAAAAAGGAAAAACAAAAAAAGGAATTAAAATGTTCGCTTGAATTTTTCCAAGTCTTCACGTCGGTGGGAAACCTAATGAGGAAGCATTCAGCTTCCAGAGAGAGGTCATGTAACCCAGACCTGCCAGTTGTAAGTGACAGCAATGCATTTCTCTTTACCCGGCACAATTTGGCTACAGCTACTCACAGTTGTGCTCTGCTGAAGCCTTGAACGTGTGATTTTTTTCATGCAGTATGAAAGGTGTGCTCCCTTTTCAGCTGCTGTTCTGCAACCCAGGAAAACTAGCGTTAGGGCTGCCCATGTAGGATCAGTAGTGCTGACCAAAAGCACCCACCTTGACGGTTCAAATATGTTCAAAAGATGCTGACAGGTTAATTTATACTTCTGGGCATTATTGTTGGTCTTCTCACAGCCGGCATGGACTCCATACATACACGTGTTGTCTGCACGCTGGCAGAGGTGCGAGTGTGTGCTCACACCTGATTTGGATCAGCTGTGTTGTGCTGGGCGATGGGGCTGCGTACAGACTCGACGCTGCTGGTCACAGCCTGCCGCTGCGCGGTGCAGCAGGACGGGGCACGGCTGGGCTGGTGAACAGAGAGATGCTTGCGCTGGATTCCAGCCCCAAAACCAGCACCATGCTCCTCAAAGCCGGTGCTCGCTGATAGTAAATGCAAAGATTAAGTGACCTATGGTGAAGTCCCAGCCCAGACACCCGTGGGAATCTCTGGACCAGGGTAGGTGTAGTTCTGTGCCTCACTTGCTGGTTCCCCTGTGACAGCCCCAGCAGTTCAGCCCTGGACCTAACTAGTGTGGACACACGCAACTCTCCCTAGCCTTGAATCACCCAGATGGTGTGTCATTCAAGAATCAGGCAAGTTTCTGCTCTACATCTACACGCCAGAGGAACAAAGGAGGGCACTACTGTCACTGAGCCTCCCACTGCCATTTTTCATGGACACTGAATGAAAAAAGAAGTTAGGAAGCAAGTTGTTGCCTGCTACCCCTGCAACAGAGAATTTATCCTAAAGACAGACTGACACCTCCCCTGTCCAAATCTTCGTATTTTCTGTTGAATGATGCTTCTACAAGGAGAGGTTGTTCCTACTGAAATTTTCTTTCCAGCTGGATTCTATTGAGGTATAAGGTGCAACACAAAGGCACTTCTGAATATCCTGTGAAACAGTCACTTTATTGCAAAACGAGTATCATAAAGTAGAAAATTTGCATTTCACATAGTTCAACTCTTGAAAGAAATGTACAAACCATGTTTCATTTGTAGAAGGGACAACACGAGCTACAAACTGAGGGCAAGACAGGCCAACTGGTTGAGGGGTGCTCAGCTTGTAAAATGTGAGTGAAGAGTCCTTCAGTATTCATATTATCCTGAGTATTGTTTCAGTTCAAGGACCACACAACATGAAATACTTAATTACTTTTACCTAGTATATTGTACACCTGTATGGTTTTTTTGTTTACCTGAGGTTTCTGTTATTTAGGCTGTAAAGGATAAACATCTTGTAAACAATGAGGTTGGATTATGGGGTTGACAGATGACAGTATTCTGACCTTCCTCCCAAACAGGCTGTTAAAAACAATAGATAAGGGGCTAGGTTCTGATCGGCAGAGATCTCATAGCTTCAAAGCTTTGGGAAATTAATCATCTTTTCAACTTAGAACTGTTTCAAAGCAACCTGAATACAGAGAAGCCACTCCATGGAGGCATCTTTTGCTTTGAACTTTTTATACCATTTGCTTATATACTTTGGATGCGTTCACAGAGTACTGATTATTGCATTTAACAATACTATGAGGAGGGAAATGCTTTCTTACACTCCAAGTGCTGTGTAAGTGCAGGGTTTATTTCACCTATTTCCACATCTCATCTTATTTGATCATCCCTGTGAATCTTCTACATAATACATTCAAAGTCTGACTCACTCAGATGTCAACGAAGTGCTGGGAAAATTCCCGTTATTAAATGGCAAGGCTGCAGATGACCATAAAAAGTCAAAATGTTTCCACTAAAAGCAATAGCCTCAATCTCCCTTATACTTTCGGAACAAAGAGGCTTTGCATTTAGAAACACATGGCATCAGCTCTGAGAAAGTTCACTGTAATTTTCTAAAATGAAGCACAAAGGAAAAACTTAATTCCACCGTTTCATTTAATTTTAACATTAAATTCTATGTTTGGGCAAATGGGATTTGTTACTTCAATCAGTATTGAACTATAATTTCCAAAACCCTGAAAAGGTGGAGGGAAGGAAGTAATATTAAGGGACGCTTTCATGGATCTTTGTTTCAAAATACAAACATTACATGGTAAGCATGGTCACAATACAAATACAATGGCTCTGACATTGCCTCACTAAATAAGTTCCAAAGTCCTAATCTCTCTCTTTCTCTATCAACATCCTCATCTGCAAAATTGTAATAATATTTCCTTACTTCAGAGAAGTGCTGTAAAGATTATTTAGTAAAATGTTTGCTCAGGGTTCAAAAAATGCTAAGCATTAGGTATTATAAATTATGTGCGAATTTCTCTTAAGCTGCAGTAAAGCCTGAGTGAAGTGCTTTGTAGGGAATCCTCACTGTGCGCTTCTGTAGTTAATTTTGGATAAGGTTATCTACATAAGAGCATTGTATAGTAAAAGAATCACTCATAGCTTAGCATCTTCTTTTTAAACTTGTTAGCTCTGCTAAACATGACACTGATTATTAAGAAATGCAACTGCATGTCAAGTAGTCGTCCCTATACTTAGAAAAAAAATTAGATCTATAAGAATTATTTATTGCTACTTCTTGCTTTCTAAGCTTTGGTTGAGAAAACTTGTGCAACTCTCCCTGCAGTTAAGGACCATGATAGAAACTGGTGACAGAACCTGATTGAAGTTATTCTTTCCTACAGCTCCAGCTCAGCAAACACTGAGCAGAGGACCATGTTCCTCCTCATTAAGATAGCATTTAAGCATGTGATTAACTTGCAGAATGTGCTCCGTTGCCAAAAGCACACGGATAAATGCTGTCTTGGAGAAGGACCATAAATAGACATAATTTGTCAGCATCCCTCAAACACGTTATTTGGATTCACGTAACACCTCAACCAAACCACACAGAGTTCTATGTCTGTTACCTAGTGGTGACTAGCCATTGTTAGTCTGTTCTGTGTCTATCAGCTAGTGGTCATGCCATTGACCACTCTAATGGTCCATCCCTCTGCACTATGTGATTTTTTTACAATATATGCAAAAGTATCTACAAAGCACCCTCTTCTTTCCCAAGCCCTCATGAGATGTGGTTGATTAGGAGTCATCCCCCAGTTCTCATTCAGTGATCTTGTGTAAATGCTTTTCTGCATGCTGTCCAGAAAGCGCACATGCTGTCTTGTGAGAGATTTCTGATTTCATAGATGTAGAATACCCCATCACTTCTGGCTTGCAGCATGAAGCTCTTCCTTGGCTGAAGCAGCTAGTCCTTAGGTGCTTTGTGAAGAAGTCTGGGCATCATATTTCCTAAAACTATGGTTACGAAAAGATTCCCTGCAATGAAACAGATCCATAAATAAAGTTGGCAAATGAAAAAGAATCCAGGAAATACCTGCCTTGTGAAAAGGAGCAGCTGACAAATCATTAGATGAAACATGTTATGCGTTGGCAGGTCAGAGGCATATTGCTTCTCCCACTCCCACCCCACCGCAGTGGCTTTGTTAAGAAGCGTATATTCGTAAGTAAAGAATATAAGTTAAGACTCTTCTGTCCCAGTCATGGGCCTAAACCAGATTATGTTATCTGGGAGTGAAAGGATCACTCTTACTTCATGCTGGCTAACACCGCATGATGTTATGTGTTCAAAACAAACACATACCTGTTCTATCTCCTTCCTGGCTTCAAATGTTGAAGAAATGGCAAGATGTTTCCAATATCTCATTAAGGCAAGAGGGAAGTCTTCTCTAATGATGCATTAAAATGACACAAATCCCCTACCCCAGGAATGAGCAAGCAGCTTGAGAAACACAGTTAATACTACATTCCCCCAGTGGAAGGCAGCAGACTTCTTTAATCAAGTATGAAGTTGGCAGTGTGTATTATGGCCTGTTTTAGCTGCCAGTAAAACTGCCTTTCTTCCTTTCAAAAATGGCAACTTTCTGTATAGCTACAACAGATAACCCTGCCCTAACTGTACCTTGTACTATGGACTTTCACTACAGGTTTGTACAGCTCTGGGATCTTCCTCTCAATCATGGGCCTAAGGTTCTCCTTCAGCTTCCCGTAGTTCTTTCTGAGCTCTAGCTGATACTCCCGCTGGTCAGCAGTAATAAGGCGCTTGTTTTTCTCCACTGCTTCACCACACCTAGGCAAAAGGAAAGAAAAAAAAGGCATGACATATATCACCTACTTCTGTTAAACTCATTAACTTTGTGTTAGGTAATCTGAATGGCCAAGGATCCAGCTCCTCTGGGCTAGGCATTCCTCTGATAACTTGTAAAGAGTCCAAAATGATAATGAACTAATAAGACACCTCTATCTTTTCTAAGTACACAAATTGAGGTGAAATTTTTAAGACATTAGAAATGCATGAGGGAGCTAATAAAAAAAAAAATTAATGACTGCAGAATACCGAGCTACCTGCCTACTTACTGTAAACAGATGCAGTGACAATAGCAGAGAGTAGAGCTGTATCTTCTGCATAAGGCTCATTTTTTATTTAACTCAAACTTATCCTTCAGCAATTATGCTTTGTTTGGACTAAGGAGATGAATATCTTGCTATGTGAGTATGCTTGTTAAAATTTACAAGCATATCTAAAGCAAAGGCTGTATGTGTCTACCACTGCCAGTGCGTCTGCTTGACAGACATGGTAAAATGTTTTCTTATGAACGGCTTCCTACGTAAAAATGTCATTTTATTAAAAATAAAATCCAGGCAATAGTCTGAAATGTTTGATTTCTGTAAAATGTCAAAAGATAAAACAAATGGAAGATCTTAATTTCTACATAATTAGTTTAAAGTGTTAAAATTTGCTCTCATTTGGGTTGCAAAGCCTATCAAAGCATTGACCATGAAGCAGAGATAAAAAGTCTGGACCAAGTGTCTAAAGCGTGAGATACCAGGATTCATGATACTAACTTGCATAATTAATTGTACGGTCATATTATCGTTGAATTATTGTGATTATTGGCTGTATTGATGCAATTCAATTTTGTTTTACTGACCTCATTATAAACTCTTTGAAGCACAACCTCAGCTTGTTGTGATGTCGATAAAGTTTGGGGTCTGCTGGAATTTCAGCCAGGAACACTTGCGCTACCTCTAGCGGTCCCTTATAGGAATAACACAGGAAAATGTCAGAAACACCTGCTTAGATTGAAAACAGACCACGTGTTTGGTTAAGCTGTTTGTTACTTCATGAGCGGAATTATGAAAGAAAAGAAAACTATGCAGAAACACCATAAAAGGATGGTTTTTTGCTCCTTTTTGCCCCCGATTTTTCCTTTGGCAAGCAGAGATTTTGCCCATCATATTTTATCCACTTCTGTTTTTATTTCTCCTCCAGCCCCACAAAAAAGGGAACAGTCAAATTCTATTCAGCAGAGAAA